CTTGCGCGCACGAGGCACGTTGGCGATATTATAGTGGTCTGGTCCAGTGCATGCTGGTTTATCGCCCTTCTTCTCTCCCGCCACATATATCATGCTGTCTGCACCTGTCATCACCGTCACCGGTGTTCTTCCTGCGCTGTTCTCGTAGACTGCATTTTTCTCCACGTCTTGCTTGCCTAATCGTCCCTTTTCCTTATCTTCAAGTCCTCGCTCAAACTCCGCGGCGCGTTGTGCTGAGAATGCATCTCCGCTGCTGACTACATATGTTCTGTGCGTGTACTTGCGTGTATCCAGATCTCGAAGTAGGTAGAACATCTCGTGTGTATGCCCTCCCGATCCTAGCACGATAAGAACGCGTGTTGCGAGCGGGCGCTGGCGTAGCGGTGTTGATTTCGAGCGCGCATTTGGAAGGATAGCGAGCAGACGTAGTGTTGCAGCGACAAGCAGAGTAACTAAAGTCGCGATCGCGAAGGAGAGCGTATAGAGGGAAGCTGGCGGGGGTGCCATGGCGGGGTTCTTGCAATGGAACGCGAATGAGGCCAAGCCGCGGTGGGCTTTCTATCCTTACGATTCCTGTTTAGAGATTCCGAATGCTGTGACTCAGACTGAGCGCGAAAACATCGCTGTTGTGGTCGTAAACTTCGCCGGGTGAAGGTACGTGTCATAGTAGTCGGCCAACCATACGGATCTCGGAGAGCACACGAAATCACATGCTTTAGACTTGGCGCAAGGGCAAGTCTACCAGCACCATCCACATCTTCTCTCTCACATTTTCATCACCCACGTGGGAAACACAGGTCCAATTAGACTCCGTGCCTGAGAGATACATAATTCTACGGCTATACTCACGATCATATTTGAGGAGATCACACCTCAGCTACTCCGTCAAGTACCTACATTACCTTTCCAAGTATGCTTTCAAAGCTTACTGAGGAAGACCATTGTCGAATTGCAAGTGTGTTTTGCTACGAGGGCAACTCGGATCGATGGATGAAGCGAGTGCTTACGCCAGAGAGGAGAGCATATGTACACGAATAATGGTCACAGATCAGTCGGGGTGACGCAATACATGTGTCGAGAGCTCAGCCTTACGTGTGTGTATGTGTGGTGTCCTCGGCGAGGCACAACAAGAGCATCTTCTAGGAAGAAAGCACAGGTATACACATCAATCCTTACAGAGATCATTCCGGAAAAGCAGACTCTTTCAGTACTCGTCATCACCGCCCATTCTTACCTACAACAATTTCCTCCCAAACTGGCCAATACACAGCCCTCTCTGGTCCATCCATTTGCCAAATCAAACTGGGATTTTGCCTCATAACACCTTCATGTTCCCTCTTCAAGCCCAACAATTCCTCACTCAAATCCCTTATCGCATTGATTACTAGCCTCAATTCCTTGCCCTCCATAGTTGTTGGCGATATTTCGCTCTTCAAATCTGACAACGGGCCGACAAGACGCGCGAGTGTCGGAGGCAGGTTGTAGCGGAAAGAAGCTTCTACCCATACAGTGACCGCAAGACGAGAAGCTAAGAAGACGCTAAGCGCGGGTAGATAGGCTAGTATGTCCGCTGAAGAGTTTGTGGTGTGGTGAGACGATGGAGCCAGAGCCCGACTGAGGTGAATGGGCCAGCAGAGAGCCGCGTAGCGTAGGAATGGAAGGTGGGTGTCGAAAGGTATGGTGCGGATGCTATTTGCTCGAGAGCTGTTGTGTTGGGTCGGTGTGGCATGCACATTGTGAATATTAGTATCTCCGTCTGATGAAGACAGAGACTTGTATCCGCTATCACATGATGTACTTGTTCTTTGGCTCGCGCCACTGCTAGTAGGTATGGTGAGTGGCATGACGGGGCCACGAGGCTGCAAGGCACCAAGAGGGCGTTTTGGTACATCGTGAGTGAGGTAAGCTAGACACCGTGCTGCTAGGTGGGCATGTACGCTGCTGTCATCGTAAAGACTAAATTCCGAGCTTTGAGACCCTGGACTATGGAGGTAGTCTCGTATGGATCCGTGGGAAAAAGCGATGTCGTCGTTGACAACGCGAATGAAGCCAAATGTAAGTTCCGGTAAGGCTTCTAAAATATCTTTCGTATGCGAGCCCTCGGACACGTTGGTGTTGCGTAGAATGAGAGCGGTATGCAATGCCTCTGGACACATGCGGTTGATTGGGCAAGAGAGCCACCGGAACGTGTCAGTGATGACATGTTTTTCAGTCAGTGGATGGCGTGCTAATGCATCAAACATGATACGAAAGAGTGATTCCAGGCTCTGCAGCGAACGCATGTCTTGTAAGATAGCAAATCGCTCCTCCGATGACAGCAGCGGCGATTGAAGGAACTTCAATACCATGCCGGCCCATAGAAAGTCACCATCCGCCGTCTTCGCGACTTCCGAGATGAGCGATCGGTCCATGCAAATCCCAAAGAAACCTTGGTCTGCTAGGCGGTTCAGTTTTGGTGCCACGAAACGATCGATAGCAACTGTGTTGTACTTGCTAGTAAGTGGGAGAATGTGGGGAGCATCTGAAGCCCATTTCTGGTACTCGAGAGGTATCTTCAAGTTCGGCCTGCTGAATATAATAACTCTTGTGTCGGAACCACGACAAAGTCTTGCTAGAGAAGCGAGGAGCATTCCAGTGTCGCTACACTCATCAATGCCATCAACCACAATGAAAGTGGGATGTTGTCGAAGTAGAAGCAATAAAATGTCCGTGACCTCATCAGTAGTAGCGTGTTCTCGAAACGAAGTTTTGCGCAATAAAAGGCTGACAGCATCCAGGGTGGAACGATCGTGTCGATGTGTATGGAGCAACTGACATGAGAAGGCCCGAAATGCGTCTTCAGGTTTGTTGTTCTTGCAAAGGAGGTTACTAAAATGATAGTGTGCGGTCGCTGGAGGCTCATCGCATAGGTCAGGATCTTCTGCTTCACCAGCCAGATTGCTTACAACCGAGTGTGATATGACAGTCTTGCCAAAACCTGCTTTCGCTAATCACTTGTCAGCTTTCCAAATATTTGACATAGATGCAGGTTTACCTACCCTGTACGAACAGCACTCGATGCTGCCAGTTACTAGCTATAGCATTCTGATCGTTTGCCATGCTTTGATCAAAGCGCTGATCTCGCCATTTGGTGTATGCTGGAGCATGCAAGAACCACGCACAGAAGTCCTGGTAAGGTTGACGAAAATCGTGAGCCGTTGTGTTAATCGAGGCTGAAGTTGACAGCCAGCTTTGCACTTTTTCAACTCTCCTCAACCGCTTTGCAAGTCGTTGTCCATCTTGTTCTACCCGACTGTTGCAGTCTGCACTACTCTGTCGATGTAGGAAGCTAAGATAACTTCTACGTTGCTGTGAGACTTCCGCGTAGTATTGAAATTCGTTGTCGGTCTCTCTCTCTAGCCAGCTCCTATGCTGTCTTATCCGGGTTTCAACGTGGGCAAAGCGCGAGTCGAGTGGCCGCCATAGCGATGAATGTGCCACCCCGAACGTAAGAGATTGCACTTCTGTGCCTGTGTATAGTCAGTCAAACCCGATTCTGAAACTGTACGATATGGAAACATCTACGACTGTATGTCATAAAACTCGGAGCATAGTAAAAAGTTCTAGCGCGTGGAAAATCTCATAATCCAACGATGTACGGATCTCTGGAGCTTCCGTTGCAGAACACTATGACGGTCCGAACCACATATGCGACTTCAAGTCAACGAGAAGACGTACCTTGTGATCCTCGGCAAAAGATTCGATACAGCTCTAGGAAAAGCTGCACAAGGTCCGCATACACATAAGAAAAAAGTATTGCCAGATGATAATCTTCAGCTTGGCCATGAGCCTCGGAACCGTTACGTTTGCAGATTCCGTAGATCTGTTGGTAAGGAGGTATGATCTGCGCAATAGCCTCAAGCATGTCGGCAATCTTCTCAAGGAAAAGCACGCAATCAGTGCTCATCTGCCACCAGTGTGAGTTCAAGAGATGCATTCAGAGTGGCTTTGATCCATACCTCGAATACCAAACGAACAATTCCCCACAAATGACCCGCCCATGCTGGCTTTAGTTCGATACATGTGCTAAGAACATCGAAGTAAGGTGCAAAAGTTCGAATGAACAATGTGAACTTTCGGGTAGAAACCAGTCTTCTTAGGTCTGTGGACCCGTTGCCGGTGGACATACGATGCAAGTCGTTCAGCAAGAGCGAGGCACTAATATCGTGATGGAAATTTTGACAATGTTCTGGCAGTATAGTGTTGTGTGTTGCCTGTATTGCTTCATCAAAGAGTGAATGGTCTAAGCTAAATCATAGTCAGTTTTGCTCGGGCTGCCAATGACAGACTAACCTTGAATCCACCATGGCTATGTCCGTGTCTTGAGTCTGTATCGACATTTTTTAGACGCGATCGAACTCAAGCGTAGACTTCTTCTCTGTAGCGAATTCATTGGCACAAGACGTTAAGCATCCACTTGGAACGATTCAGAGCGACAGTGACATTGTAAAGGTATGGATCCGGCAAGGACAGCGGGTGTGCCTGAGTAATAAACATTCAACGCGCTCATTTTGATGGGACCTAACACGAGAACAATTACTGTCCCGCATGGAGCCACGGGAGAAGAAACGGGCGTCGTGGGGCTGAAAAGATGCGGCAGATAAGCGGGATGTGTAAGAGCATGTTGAGTAAGGACCTATAGCCACGAATGTCATGCCCCGGACACAAAGACGTGGGGGAGCAAGCTAGGAACGTGGGCGAGACGACAGGCCCATGCGACAGCTCGAATGTGGCAGATCGGAGGTGCAGGCCGGCGGGCGGGTAATTCCTTGTTCGTAATGAGTAAAAGAAACCCAAAAGGAACATTACTCAAGCGAGCCGTGGAACATGAACGAATAATATCTTGGGTATCTCCTCCTACGAGCTACATAGCCAACTGCTCGGCGCAACGGGTCTATAGTACAAAAGGTATTAGAATGCGAGGTACTAAATCGAATGCCACTAAAATTGTGGCTACCTGATTACGCGGATGCGGGCATGCCGAGCCGAAGCGCAAGCAGCGCACGCACGTCGGTGACATACTGCAAGCCCTCAAGCAGTGGGATAAGGTGCAGCAGATCATGGTCTGTTGGGTCGCTGATCCAGCCTTCGATGGGAATGGCATTGTCTGGGATCACTATCAGTACAGGCTGCCTTGGGTCGCACTGGGCCGGAGCTGATCTTACCTGGATGGAAAACGTAGCTCAAGGGGCTGTTGTCAAGAATCATGACCTTGCTGAGATCGGGCTCAACCTGAGCAAGGTCCTTGATGTAAGCCCCGTTACGAACAGTGCAGTGCTGTCGATAGTATCTGCCTGCAAAGTACTTGCGCTCCACCTCGAGCCAGTCAATGACGGGATCTGCGTACTCCTGAACCGACGCGGTGAATATGATCAGATTGTACCATTTACTGACCTGTCGCGCCGTTAGTGTGACATGAGGCGCTCCTGGCCGGGGCGCATACCTTTTTCAAGAAGTCGTCGCAATACGGCCGTTTGTGAACATAGTACAGGAGCGGCACTTGTGGGCCAATAACCTGTCCATCCGCGCCAACCGAAGCCTGAAGCTTCACTTCTACCATGTGGCCGGTCTGGAAGCGGCCGCCGTTGACTATGCTGTGAATGAGCGTCTCATCGAGATCTATGATCAGCGTCTTCTGGTGTGGTCCAACGGCGGATACGCCTTTTGCAGAGTATGACGGCTGGCGGCGTGGCACCAAGGGACGCGGGGGTTGGGGCGCCCGTGGGAACTTGGTCAGTTGTTTCGACGACGCAGATGCCGGGCCAGTGGGGGACTTGAGGGAAGCGGGCGCCTCGGAGGAGATGGAGTCGGCCCTTGACGATTGGGCCTTTTTCGCCGCCTTGCGTTGCCTCAGAGCATCCTCGTTGTGGTGCAGGGTGATGCGTATCGACCTTTTGGCTGGGGCGATTTCGTCTGCTCGTGCAGTTGCGCTCGATTTGGAGCGAGTGTGGCGGGAGGGGCTGTCCAGGTCGTCGTCGCGTGTGGGAGATCGCTCGCTTTCGGAATCGGACGTCATGGCGGTCGAGGTTGATGCTATTGACAGTGAACGTCTCGTGGGTTGCTTCATGACTGGTTGCGCGACACTCGAACTGCGACTCTTGCGCACTCCCTTCTCGCTACGGTCTGGGGCAGCCGAGGCTCGCGATGATGCATGCGCCGCCACTTTTTTCCGGCGTGCACGCGTAAAAGTGCGCGAGATGTTGTAGACAGGTGCTAGAAAGGAGAAGTGGCCGTCTTCCTCGTAGTAGAAGGCGGCGACCAGACACTGCCCCGTATACACAAAGGGGGTCACCAGCACGCCGACCACAGCGGCAATGCCGTCGGATATGCGCGCGGGATACAGCCATATCCTGCGCCGCTTGGTATCTTCGTAGGGGCCCTTCTGGGCCTGCTGGAGTAGTGGTGTCTTCTCGTCGTATCCGGATGCGACCGCCTCCGTATTCGAGGAGCCGGAGCCGTGGCTCCTGTCGGCGCCCATCTTGCGCGTCTCACTCTGTGCAGCTATTGCACTCGCATCGTCAGCTGGGTGTGATCTGGAGGGCCGAGGCTCGAGAATGGCGAAGGACTGTGGGGTAGCGTGATTGCTGGGGAGAGCGCAGATGCTTATGTGTTGTTGGCTGACGGTAATACCTCCGTGATGGCGGGGCCGTTGCGAAGCGTGTACAGAGTTGCGGCTCAGTGAATGTGCTCTTCAAGCACTGACGGAACTAGCAACAAGCCGAGGCGTGCAATTCAAAGGAGAGGATGGCTATGCAGCTAAGCAGAGGTTGGAGACGAGGACAATGACGAACCGCTCGAGCGACCGTGCCCAATCGGAACGCCGAAAGCTCAATTTAGTTACGACTCATACTTTGCCATGACCACCGCTTCGACATGCAATTCCACTCCCACGCTGCCCCAACATCGCCATAGCCGCGTCGCCAGTGCTTTGGCCCAGCAGCGCATCCACCGACTGGCCAGAATACACCCCCTCGGACCTGCCCAGCGACCACGAGAGTCATCAAACCACGACAACCCCACCACCCCACATACCCTCGATATCCCGTTTGAAATCTTGCGACTTTGGCCTGCGCCTTCGCTTTCGCACAGATTCCCACCATGCAGGGCGCAACAATACAGGCGCCGGGACTGTCGACGTACCTCAAGTCGCTGAAGAGCACGCCTGTCGATGCTTCGGTTGAGCATTTCATCTCGTGAGACGCGACTCTGCATCCACGTGCCCCAGCACCAACTAATCTCTCCGCTCCAGACTCCTCAAGCGACGCCAAATACGAAACTCGAGACCATGCGCTATAGCGACGACGGCCCTACTCTTGCGCGTCGTCGGCGAGTTCAAGGGAAGGGATGCCGCAAAGCTCATTGAGCGCATAAAGCAGGTCGGCAGGCGGTTGACGTCGGCGCAACCACGAGAGGTAGTCGTGGGCAACATTGTACGACGCGTACTGGGGCTCGTACGCGAGGTCGTCGACGAACATGCCGAAGGGCAGACGCCAACGGGAAGCGAACCAGGCCACTCGACTCCACAGGCGCCCACGCAGCACGACTCCCTTCACAGGCCAGTCTTGAACTCGAGCATATCCACCTTCAGCCCTCTCAGACATGCCGTCGCCGAACCCATGCACACAAGTGTCTTCACCGACAACGCATCCGACGTTAGCGAACCCTCGAGACGGCCCCCGTTACTCACCTCACACACTTCGTATGCGCCCACCTCGTCCGCTCCTCTAGTCCACTCGCTATTCGGCCTCTTCTCCCAGCCCGCAGACACACCCTCGACCACAAGTACACCCACAGGGCAGGCTTCGCCAAACGGCAAGAGCACTCTCACAGCACTCAACCTGGAGCGCCTCGAGGGTATCAACAGGAGCCAGAATCTCGACCTCAAGGGCGAGGTCATGGAGGGCATAAGAGAACTTCAGGACGAGCTCGAAACATCAGACAAGCAGATTGCCGAAGTTGCCCTCGAGCACATTCACGCCAACGAGATTATCCTCACCCACACTGCGTCGACAACAGTCCAGAAGTTCCTCCTGTTCGCCGCACGAAAGCGCAAGTTTACCGTCGTACACGCCGAGACATATCCCCACGATCACACTGCCACCCATGGCATCCTCCTTACCGGTAAAAAGCGAGAGGCGAACCCAGATGACGACGCCGACGACGACAAGTGGAAGCCGCTCACCGACGCCGGCATCCAAGTCTACGTTATCCCAGACTCACATGTCTTCGCCATAATGTCTCGCGTCAACAAGGTCATTCTAGCGACACACACCGTGCTGGCCAACGGCGGCCTGGTTGCTGCAGCCGGAGCACACATGATTGCAAAGGCTGCCAAGGAGCACCAGACGCCTGTTGTGGTGCTCAGTGGAGTATACAAGCTCAGTCCAGTCTATCCGTTCGACATCGACGAGCTGATCGAGCACGGTGATGCAGGAAGTGTAGTGCCCTACGACGACGGCGAGTTTGTCGACAAGGTCGATGTTGAGAACCCTCTGTATGACTACGTTCCTGCAGACCTTGTGGATCTCTACATTACCAATCTGTAAGTCATGTCTCCAACTTCTCAGAGCACCGAGCAAAACTGACCCTTACAGTGGTGGACATGCACCTTCATACCTCTACCGCATTGTAGCGGACCACTACCGCTCCGAGGATATCACTTTGTAATTTAGCCACGAGCCACGGCGTTATGATACCAACCAAGCCTAGAAGGGACAGGAAAAAGTGTCGGCAGCAAACAATGTTACCCCACCTAGAGTAGCATTGCCTGAAAGCAATAAATACAGCACAAATTCCTCATCCATTCAACTCGAGGCACGTATGCCGCCATCTTCACCATCACCGACTCGTGCCCTCGCCCTCCACCCGCCCAACTAGCACACTTCCTACATACCCTTGACCCCCATTGGCCGCCCTTTCGTGCCCCTTCTGCACATACCCGTAACCCATAGGTTACCACCCCCATCATTGGTCGCACGAACTTTAGCAGTGTGCCCTTCGGCCATGGGAAATCAACGGTTTCTGTCAGAATTACCGCGTTGGGTAGTTTGACGATGCGTGAGGGTGGGCCGGCGGGGCGGCAAGGGGCACTGTGGCGCTTTTGGGTAAATAGTTGTGCCAAAGTGTGTAGTGCCCTTCAATGCACCTACTGCGCGCGGGGCGTTTTGCTTCTCTGGAAATTTGGCCGTAGGCGCATTCAAACATGACGCATGTGCATTACAGAACAAGGCTAGTTTGTAGAAGGCTGGTAGTTGTTCTTCGCGTTCTAGCTCTGTTTCTGAGAGCTGGGATACACTGAGGGGTCACTATCACCGCCCCTCCATGTTCGATAGTGCATGCTTCGCCGTCCTACCTCGCACCGAAGCATTACGTGTATACTCTCATACCGATTGCGCGCGGAGAAATGATGATATGCAACAAGTGCTAGCCGTCGGCCATTTTTGGAAGCTACTCAGTGTGATAATGTACGGCTTATCATGGTCTCGGGTCGGCTGTTGTGACATTACGTATGCGGAGAAGGCGGGCGCGCATCTTGTGGAGCTGAGTTAATCGAGTGTCAACCTGAGGTCCTTCTTCCCTGACTGGAGAAATTGTAAAGACGCGGGGTAAGGCTCACAATGTCATTTCTTGAGCTTGAAGGGTTGCATGTGTTTGTTACGGGGGCGGCTGGAGGTATAGGAGGTGCGATCGTAGAGGAGTTTCTAGGTACGTATTGAATTCTGCACATTTGTATGCATTCTTGGATGCTGGAAGAGAATGCCATGCCAACGAACGTCCCGATGGTCTGCTTGGGTACGGTGAAAGGTATTCTCCAACTTGCTAGCACCATCGAACACCGCGATCAAACCAACAACACCATCACCCCAACAGATTGTCTCTATGCATCTTGATTGCTGACACTCACGCAGCACAAGGCTGTAAAGTCACTGCACACGACCTTCGCCCAAACCCTCTCGCTTCAACAAAACCTAATCTTCACTGCTTACAGGGTGATATCAGCTCTGAAGCTTCCATCCAAGAATCCATCTCCCAAGCCATTAGCCACTTCTCACAACCCATAAATATCCTTTGTGCCAATGCTGGCATCACAGATGAATCCTCTAGCTACCCTATATGGGGCATGCCTAGCGATCTCTGGGATCGTACTTACGCTGTCAACGTTCGCGGTACTTTCCTAACAATCAAACACTTTCTCAGATCTGTCGAAGAATCACAACGGGAAACCGGCAAGGACATCAACAACGTTAGTGTTGTCGTGACGGGGTCCGAATGTGGAGTTTTTGGTCAGGCAGGACATGTGGAGTATGCGAGTGGGAAGGCGGCACTGCAGTACGGACTTGTAAAGACGGTAAAGAACGAGATAGTCAGGTTGAACAAGAGCGCGAGGATCAATGCTGTTGCGCCTGGGTGGGTGGATACAAAATTGATTGAGGGCAGATTGGATGACCCGAAGGAGATGTGGAGGGAGGCTGAGGCTACGTGAGTCTGATGCTTGTATCCACTCTTGTGAATATTTCGCTGACTATCATAGTGTTCCCCTCAGGAAGATTGCTCAACCGACTGACGTAGCGCGAGCAGCTGCTTTCCTAGCCAGCCATCGTGCTGCGGGGCATATCTCTGGACAATGTATATCCGTCGACGGTGGTATGGAAGGTCGTATCGTGTGGTCGGAGGACGAAGTTCGCAAATCACAAGCAACTACTGTGGAACCCGAGATGCCCTCTGTCAATACTACTGGTGAAGCCGAGGTATTTGGTACCACTACCGAAGGCGTATCTCTAGCTAGTAGAAACACCTCAGCAACGGCCATCCCAACAACATCATCTCTCACCGCCCCTCGAATCAACCATGAACCGAAGATCAAGATACTGCTCTCGGTAGACTTTGACGCGGTATCAGGTTGGTTAGGCACTGGAGCTCACCCCAACAATAACCTCGCAGACTATAGTACGGGGTTCTTCAGTGGGCATGTCGGCGTCCCTAGGCTACTCAAACTCTTTGCAAAATACGACATCGCCAACAAAGTGACCTGGTTTGTGCCAATGCACAGCGCAGAGTCCTTCCCCAAAGAATTTGCCGCAATCAAGAACAGTGGAGCAGAGATAGGATTACACGGCTACTGCCACGAAGGCGCTCCGCAGCTCACTCCAACCCAAGAACGCGAAGTCCTCGAACACTGCATAAGCCTCTACCAAGAGTTGTTAGGGAAACGCCCACTGGGCTACCGCGCGCCACTCTACCAGCTTCGAGAGAGTACCGTAGAGTTACTAGAAGAATACTCCTTCCTGTACGACTCTTCACTATCGCACCACGATAGCAAACCATACTACCTCCCCAATCTACCACCTATAAAGCCGCCAAAGTATACCGAGGAGGCTTCCGCAAAGGACTGGATGAAGCCTCTCCCCAGACCTAGTGCCCCTACGGCCAAGACACTGGTTGAAATTCCAGCAAACTGGTACACCGAAGACATGACGCCCCTTCAATACCTCCCTAATGTACCCAACTCGCACGGCTATGTTGACGTGCGTGTGATGGAGAATATGTGGAAGGATAAATTCGATTGGATTAGGAGCGAGATGCGCGATGGTATTGGAGAAAAAGACGTAGTAGTGTTTCCATTGGTCTTGCACCCAGATACTAGTGGTATGGCGCATGTCATTGGAATGATCGAGAGAGTGATCAAGTGGCTGAAGACGTGGGAAGGGGACGTAGAGTTTTGTACATATGAAGAGGCGGCTGGGGAGTGGAAGGAGAAGAACACGGTAGAGTGATGTCGGACACATGACCGTATGTAGACTTCGGAGGAACGAGCGTGACTGTCGATCGTCGGCATTACCATGACCATTGCATGCCGGAATTATAAGTTTCGTGTGAACTCCAAAATGTCGCAATGCAACCATATGCGAGACAATACCAACAACTGCTTTGTCCATGTCAGTTGAGGATGACATGGCGCATATGAAGTGTCTAGCGCTGGCGCGCTGATCCCAGGGTCCAGGTCCCGAGTTCCCCACAAACGTCATCCGTTCCTCCGACCCAAACAATTAAACAAGTGGCTGCCTTGCCGCACGCATGCAAGAAGCAACGGACAGCCAGCTTTCTACAACCCCAGGCTCGAACAGTAGACATTGCTATTTCCCTTTCCTGTGCAACTTCAAGTTGTTTCCCCAAAGCTCGTGGCCCATTGGGACAACTTTACGCAACAGACGCAAGAAGGCATGGAGAAGCTCAAGGAAGCAGAAACAGCAGCGGCGCAGCGCTTGCGCAAAACGTTCAAATATCCCTCAGAATCCGACGACGAAGATACGATAGAGGCAGGCATGGATGAGCAAGGTAGCATTCTCCCTCCACCTGCTACTCACCCGGTACCCAGCTAACACGACCAAACAGATCGCGCAGCCCTCGTCCAAACCCTCAGCACACACGACACATCCACAACACACACGTACACGCTCTTTCTCCTCGCGCTTCCTCTGCTCCCCACACTACTCTACATACCCCGCTTGCTCGCCCTATCCACCCTTCCAACAAGTTTAGTCGCTGTCGCTAGTCTACTAGCCACGGCGTATACCTTGTACTTCCTACCCTTACCACCTACACAAATGGAGCCCATAGATGGCGTCGATGTGACACCTTCCACTTTCCAACAGCCATCGTCAGGGAAAGGGAAGGGCAAGAAACCCATGGGCGGATACGGAATCTACAACAAGACACCATCTTGGGAGCAACCGACTGAGAAGAGTGCGAGGCGGCCTGTACCGTATCTCTCAGAAGACATGGCAGACATGATAGGCGATTATATTGTGCCTATCAACAGAGCTGTGTGTGGGCTTTTGGCACTGTATGAGGTGTGGTTGGCACGTGAGTGGAGTGAAGGCTTCATGATAGGAGGTGGCTTCTTGCCCGGGGTGATTTGTCTGATAATTCTGTGGGTGAGAACCGAGTTGCGGATTATTGACATGGATGCGTTGGAGAGGATTAACGCGGGTGCTGCGCAGGGAAAGGTAAAGTGAAACCCAGGCGAACTGCCGACTCTGGAGCTCAACTATTGAGATAGCCACGACAGAGATACCCATTGCAGAAGGACAATGCACAATGACTTATGAATATGACGAAATAGCGGTATCATTAGGTTCTATGTATAGGTGGAGGGTACTTATCCGTGATCAATATCATGTCGCGTCGATTGCACATGTCCAATGCTTCGCTGTACTATGCTGTACCGTGAAATGCCAAAGATGCCAGACCAACGCCGCGCTCGCTCGAAAAACAGGATCCAAATTTCTCTTTTTATGCGCTAATCATCAGATGGCACGTGAGCTACGCTCCTGGGACTTCCATGCCCAAGTCGATATTCATATGTGTGACATGGTCGAAGAGGTTGAATGCCGAAGGGAGAGGTTCCTAGCCTGATCGCTTCCAAAACTGGTAACCCTTCTTCTCGCGTTTCTCGTTTGTCTCGCCGGCGACCATGTTCGTATCCCTGATGCCACCAGCTTCTGTGCCAGCAGGATCCGCATGGTACGCCTTCTCGTTGCCTCTCTTCTTTCCCTTCTTGACATCCCTCCTGGATGCACAGCAACAGCAGAGTCCCATCTGTACGAGCCAAGCGAATATGGCAAAAGCACTTGCTACCCACATGAAGGCGAACAAGGTGACTCCAATTTCCGCCGAGATGTTTAGCTCAGCCACACCACCGATAGTGTTGCGGAAGATAATGAACATGACGGTCGCAATGACAGAGGCGACTGTTACGAATAGCGCGTTGAGGAAGGCAAGGATAGCAACGGCGAGGGTGAGCCAACGCGTGTAGATGGAAATAGGCATGACGAAGATGAGGACGAAGGACAAGACGGTTGCGGTAAGGAAGAGACCGAACATCCAGTTTGAGACGAGGTGAATGAGGTCGAGAATATCGTTGATGTCAGCGGGAAGGTTAACTATAGGTGTTGTTAGTTGCTTGATTTGCAAAATGCGTCATGTGCAAGAATGGGATAGGATAGTGGGAAGCAACATACTCGACGCTCCAGCAAGAAGCTCGTTACGCAGGATCTCTACAGGATTGAACCAATACAGCGTTTCTGGCTTACTGCAGTAAGTCACGCCTTGGCCCGCATATCCCTCGCAGAATCCCCATAGCCCGACTTGGTAGAAATCGTGCAAACCCAGTGTTTGCGCGATGGTGTTGATGAGTGCAAAGTTCGGAACGCTTGCAGGCACGATATGGCTCAAGTCGAGCCGGATGAAGTACCAGTTTTTGATAACGGCTTTATTACGTACGCCCGCGATGTTCACGAGGATAAGGAATATGAGTGTGATGAAGAGAAAGAAGGAGGTTGTGAGCGCCCATATCTTGCGTGTGCGGGTTGCGCGCTTGATCTGCTCTTTGCTGAGCTCAGGCACCACTGTTGGCGACGTTGTCTGTGAGACGGCGGTATCATCCGACTTGCGTCGGCGCGAGAAGATGCCCATTGTAGGTGATTCGGAGGTTTTCCAGTGCGTTCAAGGAGAAGCAAGCGCTGCAGCGGAGAATAGTAAGAGAAGCAAGTGGACAGCCAACGACGGAAAACTTGAGACAAACGATGAGCGAAGAATATCCGAAACACTTCGTCGATGAATGTTCAGGCCTTGGATCCGGGGCAACGCAACCTCATACGCGCGTGCTGCAGCAGCGGTCGTGTATTTTTATGGAGCCTTGTTGAAGATCTCGAGCTATGACGTACAGGACCCCTAACAGCAAAACTAGACACCGCAAGAAGGCGCTGGCGACGCGGCGCATTATTACCTACGACACACATCGGCACTAAGCCACGCGACTAAGACGTCCAATAGCAAATCACCGGTCTAGATGTTGGGCGCGACTGAAGCACCGGCGTCGGCGCACGTTTGGTACTCGCATGGTCTGGCCGGTACGCGTGTTCAAGAGGCTGGTTATGACGTCGCCCTAGCTACCGTTCACCATGAAGACTTTGGGGGTGGAGTTAATTGCTTGTGGCTGTGCTGGGGTACTTTGGTGTGGACAAACACGAGCAGAATGCATGTGTAAGATTTTCGCGGGTACGACGGGGGGAGCGGAGTTCGTGATCTGCGTGGATAATTTTGTCCATGGCCGGTGCATGACGGATGATGACGCTAGACTTCGGCAGCAGAGGTGCATGGTTTACGTCGAGGCTCCCTGCTAGGCACATGCTCTTTTAGAGAGCGAACATTACCCTGTGCAACGAGTACAAATAGGTATAGTCAAATGTGCTTGTAATAATGTTTCTTCTTTCCATTCCTCTATGTGCTCGGCTTACATGTTTCACAATCGCTCCAACAAGTCCCACCAACGTCTACTCTCCGACACCAAACCGCCATGGTCTCCAAACCTTCAAGCTGCCCTCTACTTCAAGTTCTTCATCTCGCAGCAACGCAGAAGAATAAAAATTAGACATTGGAAAACGCCAGTCCATCGCTAAACCGCCCTAGAAAACGAGTAATCTGCCGGTCGATAGAGTCGCAACCGCGATGGAGAAAAATAGGAAAAGTACATGACAAGCTGCCTGTACAGGTTGTTGCAGTGATGTGAAGATGGAGAGTAGCCAACGCGCGCGCTATGTCTATGCCACGATACCAAGGAAATCGTCAGAGCCGCTAAACAGCAGTGTATATAGAATTTGACATGATGTGAGCTTTTGATGTTCGGTCGAGTAGGAGAGTAGAGCTCTGCCAGCGAGCCGATGTGTCTATCGTCAAAGATAGGTGCTGAACAGATTGCGACAGGTTTAGGCGCCCTCTACCATGTTCATCCTGGGCCTTAATTGTACCATGAAATCATCCCTGGTACCCATGACATCTCTTGGTATCCTGCTGACACGGTTGGCACCGCTGCGAACAGCGAACCTGCCGACCGCTGAGATACCAGAATGGTTTGATCGGATAGATCCAGCATCTGAGGCACCTGAGCCAGCAGGGTCGCGAATGCGGCCAGGTGGTGCAAAGTCAAGCGCAGTGAAGGTGCCGGACTTGCGCATCAGGTAGGGACTGGGTAGCGCGGGAAGCTCGTCGTAAGAACCAACGAGCGGTGTGTGTGGTCGCACGGCGGGACTGTAGGGTCTGGGAGCACCCAGTGGGCTGTCTGGTCGTATACCGTTTTGTCTCTCACGGAACGAGACTGGCGGCGCAAAGTCTGCAGCATCGAAAACCATCGAGTTCTCGGTTAGCTTTCCGGGTGTGGGAAGAGAAGACAAAGCGGACGGTGGAGGCAGTGGCTTCTTCATTGGCGCAGGTAGACGTCCGCTCATTGAAGACATGCCGCGTGGCGGTGGGTATTGCGAGGAAGCCATGGAGCTGTTAGACATGTGCGGGGGACGAGGACCAGTGGCAGTGTTGCTTCGGAAACGAGGAGGAGCACGTGGTGGGGGTGTCATGGCACGACGAGTAATAGGCTCGGCAAAAGGAGCGTTTGGCTGTGCGACGACAAAGGCACCGGTGCGCGGGTCGAATACAGTGCCGTCTTGGTACTCTGAGCCATAGTCTTCGACGTAGTCGGTGTACTGGTGACCACCAGCGGGTTCAGGCTTAGAGTCGTCAAAGTACTCCTTGTAGAAAGATCGGATACGGTTGGCACGCTCTTCGGGGTTCTCCTGAGGGTCATCGGAAGGCATAGGACGTAGGCTCATTGACAGACGGTTGGTGCTGTGACCAAAGTCGTCTACGGCAAGACCAACGTTCTGAGGACCAGTTGAGTAGCGAGGCTTGGGTGCAACGATCTTGGGCTGCTCGCTTTCTTTGGGTGACGGTGGTGTGATCTGGAAGCCATCGCCATAGCTCGAGGTACTGATGATGCTATGCGTGTTTGTGTTCTCCAGTACAACAGCCTGGGACTGAACGCGTGGCAATGAGGGAATATCGTTGGTAGTTTGGACGGGTGACTTGTTGACTTGCTTTTCTGTAACACCAGGCTCGGGAATTGAGATGGTGGGAACATTGGTGGGCTTAAAGGCAGCATACTGGGTCTTAGGTTCAGCGGAAGGCGATTCAACTGGAGGTGAAACAGGAGACGACTCCTTGTCGAATCGTGGGTTCAATGGGCTGAGAGGAATACCCGGTTCAGGGAACTTGCTATCTGGAGACCGCGAGCCGTCAGGGGATAGAGATTCGCCGCGAATGGGGTGCGAAGTCGACATCCTCTGTGCGTTTTGAAGCAGACCGGCTTGAAGGCCTTCCTTCTTCGTTCCAGCGCTCGAAGTTGTGTACATGGATCCGGCGTCGTTTCGGTAGGGACCACGGGTGGCGCTACGGATGCTCTGGTCATCCTTTAGATAAGCTACAGGGCCGTACGGGTCATGAGGATCATGCTGCGAGCGCGATAACGAATGGAATGACTCTCTCGAGCCATGCAGGCCAACAGGCAGTATGTATGGGCTTCCGGTCTCGATTGATAGACCTCGGTCGTGGCCTCCAGGGATTTCCTTCTCGGAAACGCTCATCTCGGGACCTCCTTTCTTGCCAGATCTAGTCACACCCTCCATGCCCCAATCGTGCGACTTGTATTTGTCTTTTGAATCTTCCTCAGCAAGCTTCCTCTTGTTCCTGCGATGTAAGAAGAAGAGGACAATCGTGATACCGACGACAGGCACACTAAGAACAATCAGCGCATTCACTATTAAAGACCTGAGCTACGTACATGACGGCAAGTGCAATGGCGATTGTGGGTACTTGAGTCGGCTTTGTGCAACCGGGATCACTGTCGTTGGTACATGTTGCGCTGGCGCGAGCTACAAGAACGCGGCTGGCCCTTTCGACCATGTGAATTGTTTGACTTGCGCTGCTAGGGGAGCCAACGTGGTTTTCATTATGCACATGGTGGTGCATATGTTGGTGGTGTGAGTGTGCCATGGCTCTAGGACCGCTTTCGCATGCGAAGTCGTGATCGATAGAGCTAGTAATGGATACGGGGGAAGCTCGTCTTTTGAATTGTCGACGTGACGCTATACAGTGTACGGTGGCGGGCGAGGCTCCGAGATGTAAGTATTAACAACGTAAGGTCGTAACTCAGTCGTAACTGCTTGTCGACAGAATAGTATATGCGGAACTCGTTTCGAGGTAGTCGAAGAGTGAATGGACGGCGATAGCCTAGGGTGATAGCAACACAACAAAACAATCTTCGGCCCAAAAAAAGAATGACTGGGGTAAGATACGATCGAGCTGCGAAGGTTGCTGGTTATGGATGCTAAAAGAGCGACAGGCCCACGAAGAGGTGAGTTGAAGGAAAGAAGACGGACGGGCGCGAAAGGTAGATGAGGCGCCGCACAGGAGCCTGATCTCCGGTTCTGACTGACAGGCCTTTTGATTGGGCAGCTGTCTCAAGCCTTGCACGGGTCAAGTGTGTTACGCCGAGCAGATGGTGAAGGGCCCCCGTTTGTCGTTAGCCGCAGCCACATGTTTGACCTTGATCCGGGCCGTTAATTGCACTCCACGCAGACTTCATCAACCAGCTCCGCCTAGACGTCTTCACTGCTATCGCGAGTCTCTTCACGCAATCGATAGAGCTATCGTCGTATTTACCCAGCTGCACATCCACCCGTCGCGCTGCATCCGAAGCCCCTACTGGCCTGCAGGTTCAGGAGGCAGCTAGGCCGCACCGTTTATCTTGGACTGCGCCCCATGCGGAGCCGCTAGCCTCGATATGTGGTCGCTACTGCAGGAACCCTTTCGCGAACTTCCGTTATTCGTCAATTCATCTCTAACAGCAGATTATCGACCAGGGCTCCTGCCGCGAGCTCCAGACCACACAGCACCGTCAGAAGCGCCCTGGCGCCCCTGAACCATAAACCGTGAACGCCCATCTCTCCATGTTCACTCGTCGTGCTCTATTCCCGGATGTACAACAGATCAGCTTCCAGCAATCTTTTTTCCTTGCATAGCCACTCTCGTCCTCTGGTCGCCCAAGACCCGCAGAAAACTAATCCTCCCCCTTTCCCACGCAGTGGAGCTCAAACCGGTCCAGAACAAACGCGCTCCACGCTCTCTTCATTTCCCGATCCCGCTGCGGCCGAGCGCTGGTTGTGCACGACCTTCACCGGCCTTGTGTTCTGCATGTGGCCTATCCCCGAGCCCGCTTCCGCTTAATAACCGTCATTTATCGACATTGTGCTCTCCATCCGTCAGATTTGTTCTGCTCTCCTTTTAGCATGTGAAACTCTTCGGAGCCTTATGAAACTCATAAGCATCGACTGCGCAAAGTTCAATCACACTCATGCATCGCTTTTTCCACGTCACTCGGTTGCGTACACGATACGATGACTATTGAGGTTGGTGCGAACACGTGAAGGAACTGTCAAATGTCGCTCACCGCCACTGGGGTTGCCCTGCAATATCCCTTTATCACTAAGGAAATTACCTGTCTCCCGCCACTGCAATCGGCTTCTGGTGTTTGATAAGCGCATGGTTGCCGGCATAATGGCCAGGCCTTCACTATAGAAAGATGCCTCCGACCTTGCTATAGGGAAATGGCCCAAAGTGATGTCACTCTCAGTGTGAGCGTACATGAGCTGGTCATAGTTGCATCTCGTCATCTAGGGTGCCGTTGTGGCTTGTTGACATCAGAGACTCTTATCACGCACAAATGTGTGCAGTATGTCTTCTTGGAAACATTCTCGGTTCGTGTTCGTCTAGAGTAGGGCATAGAATGTGCGCTCTATCCTGGTTGTGGCAGACTCAGGCCCTATGAGTCTCCTTGTGCATCCTTCTGCACATATATGCAACTCTTCCTTAATACTCCAAGAGTCGCGGCTGCTAGGAACTCTGATACTCACCTCAATTGTGACAATAGAAAAGCAGCCCTTCAAGTCAAGCAATGCCTGGCAGTCTGGGAAGCCAGTGTCCCATATCTGGATGGTCGATGGCTATGTTTGTACACGCTCCATATCCATGCCAGTTCGAGGCGTAACGGAGGTTTGTCATTGTACCCGTTACGCGGTTACTGTTGATAGTCTACTTTCCAGATGTTTTAAAGGCACTATCGTATTCAGTTCTTCATCGTCTTGGCTAGACGTCGGCGCGATATGCACAGAATGAATGAATCCAGCAAGAACGAGGTTGATATGATGCTCAACATGTATGAGTAGTTGCTTCGAACAACACACCAGATGTGAATGATATCACAACGTGGAAAGCATGACCGCACGCGTTTGCTTGTGAACATTCAAGCATGCAAACCCAAAATATCTGCTGGGCCGTGGATTGCGAGTGGGAAATCAGCCTGCAGCAGAATTGGAATGCCGGGAGGTGCTTTTGACACGTTTCCCGAATATGCTGTCCTGGAAACCAAGTGAGCTGGCACACTCTTCTATGGGGGTGTAAGTTTGTGTCTTGTCACGGAGCTCTTGAGACACAGAGAGGCAGGGTGTCGATGGTGTCGATTCCCTGCACTGCCGATAGGGTATGTCTGTTTTCCATGGTCTCAGATGCTCCCTTGCGTGCCGGATACCAGACGGACTAATGTCGCTATCATATAGCACTGGCTGGACGCAAATGAGAATCGAAGTATAGCAAGCAGCGTTGGTCATTTAAATGTCAAAGGGAACCTTGGAATGAAGCGGTGATAGATGGTGCTGGTCATTTTGGACGAAGAATATAATAAAAAAATCGTATTTTTTTGATTTTCCAGTGCTTCGACTGTATTATGTCAGTGTTCGGCCTGAAGCGGGTGAGAGAGTTTCGGCATGATGCAATAATCTGGTTATTATTGCTTACACACAACGAACACTCTTTGAAAAGTGCCATCCAATTGCTTACTCGTGTATGGAAAAGCTCGATTTCGACAGCCTTTCGACACCACCAGAGAAACATTTTCCTGTCATACTATACTGACCAAAAGCTGTTGGCTTTGATCCACACGGTGCGCATGATTGTCTGGAAGGTTTTCCGACAACAACAACAACAACAACAACAACAGGGCTTCGTTATGTGTTAGACCTCATCCTGTTGTCTGCCCATATGGTCTCGTCCGCGGAAGGGTAGTGAGGACTGTCGCAAGGGAAAAGCAAATCGTGCACAGCCAGCCGTACAGCCGTGAATATGCAGCGTGACCTAGGAAACGACGCACGGCATCTGCTGGCAAGTGTGCTGCAATATAGCAAATGGGCGATGGAGGCCGACAGAAGCGATCGTGGGGTCGGCGTGGCTGCCAGGTGCGGGTTAGGCCGAGAAAGTACCGATTTGACTATGACGCATTGGCCATTCTGTTCTCACGAGACAAATCAACGGCGAACAACAAAGACATACATGCACAGAACAATCACCTGCTAACAACTCGTTGCTTATCCCTCACACCCTCTTGCTACCTTCTTTGATACAACTATTAACCAACCGCCCAAAACCAGGCGTCGGACCACGATAAAGACCCATCTCCAGCCATCGAATTCGCGATTCCTTTTGGTCCCTGCGCTGCGTAGCCACGCCCCACTGCCGTCCCAACTTCTTAAGGGTCCGGTCTCCCGAGCAATCCTTATCAAACAACATGTCGCACTTCAGCAACATGGCCGCCCCTCACCCAGTATCCCCCAGGACTACTACACCAAACTCTGGGAGTAGGACCATGGAGGTCCGCCCTCAGCCTGTCCTGCGTCTGTCAGCACCTTCGGGCGTGCTCCGTCTGCGAGCGGAGCCCTCGCAACGTCGACACATTCAATGGGCGGAAGACGTGGTTGACAATGAAGGCATGGGGAAGAAATCATCCAAAGGTACAACCCTCCAATGACACCCTTGTGCCATCAGAGGAACTAACAGAATCAAAGTCTGCTGCATTTATCACAAGCCCCGCGCTGCCGACGAGTCTTCCGACGAGGACTCTTCAGATTCATCATCAGACTCAGATTCAGACTCTGAGCCCGACAACAGCACCGCAAGACCTGCTGGAAGAATTGGCGGTGCGCGCGGCAGACGGCCACATCAGCACGATGATGGTTGTGAAGACGTCCACGATCACGGCGAGGCCTCTAGTACCCCGCAAAAGCACAAACGTCAACGGAGGAAGCCAAGCCCGAATGCTTACGAGAAGATGCCGAAGCAGAAGAAGTGAACTTCAATTGCGCTTCAGATGGCAGACTCACTTGGTCATGCTAGGAGCTGGCTTGTACGACTTGGAAACGATTCTCATTGCTTGGAGTTACGGATGTTCACGAGACACGTTATGATTGGGACTGCGTCATTGCATAGCGCTGGTAACGGACTTGGATAGTCCGTAAAACTTCGTGTTTTCGATGTTGAAATTTGGCGCATTGAAGCTTTTACATCATCCTGTAGTATTAAATTTGCGCATGTGAAGTTGGGACATGTATCCCTCTTATGCTTATTCCCGTCCCCTTGCCTCTCATTGGTGCTGTCTTCACCGTTCTTCGATGCACACGCTATCCCTCAGCTGTAGGACCAACTGCAGCTAACGTTGGGCTCGATTGCAGCTGTGCTATGTGCATCCCAAGACATCCCATTGCTTGCAAATGCTCGTTAATTGGACGGCCAACGCATGTATATGCAACCGATCGCGCATCAATCTTCCACCCTTGGTGTTCGTTCTGCCTCAAAGCGTTTGGGCTCAGCGAAAAGCTCCATTGGATGCCAGGCACATGTTGTCCACATGCTCAATCCTCTGCCGTTGCTGCATTGGCCTGCTCTATTACCGCAGGCGCATGCTGTGTGGGAATGCGGACAAGCGTCTGTGGCAACGGCGGCTCATCCTCTGCCTTCTTTTCTGAGTCTTCCTCTTCCTTTGGCTGTGGAAGTTTTGCTGCTGTGATTTAGAACGCAATCCTTCCGATGATCGCACAACTTACTGGACGCCATGTTGATAGCCCTTAGCACATTATGCCAATTTGACAATACTGCTGCGACCGCTAACCAACCACCAAGTTAGCATGATGTTTCTACTGCGCTCCATGCTTGAGACTGCCTGTAAAACTCATTTACATACCTTCTGTTCCATTTGATAAAGTCGACAGCTTATCAGCGAGCATCTGCATTTGGTCTGCGAGTCCTCCACTTAGTGCTTGCAGGTCTTTCAGGTTCGCTAGTTCGGCTTTTTTCTCTGCAATGCGCGCGAGCAATACGGGAGACTGTTGCTGAGAGCCACCCATGGACTGATTACGGAGATGAGTAGGGAGGGGGCGCGTGAAGTTTGACATCCTTTACAGTTGGTGTACGTTCAGCACTTTCTTCTGCGAAAGTATAAGTGGTACTCGTAGATGTAGGTAGATGTTCTTGCTTCGCGGGATGCGCGACCAGAAGTGTTTTCTCTGTGGAAGAACAGAGGACAGGAGAAGTGTCAGGTTATTGGTTTTTTGTCATTAATATGGTAGACAGTTGCCAAGCATGATACGGATATGCTGTGCTGATACGCGTTCATGCCCCTCGTGTCACGTGGAAGCGCTCTTTTGGCTAGCCTATTTTAACTTAGCTTTGTTGCTATGTAAACATGCAATGACGAACACAGAAGGAACACCCACCGACGCCTTGTAGTATCCACGTCGCCACGACCGCGTAATCGTCTACAGCTTTATAATTAACTTCGACATACCTATTTGCGCATATGGCGCGTCTCAACGAGCCGCCGATCGCACCTCAGCCATCGACGGATTCTATAGAAGCCCTCAAGCGACGCTTTTTGAGGCAGAACCGCGAACTCGCAAAAACGAACTCGATTCAGTCTATACGCATACGAAGCCTCGAAACAGACTGTTCGCGATTACTCGCCGAGAATTTGGCATTGCGCGAGCAGGTCCTGAACCTTCACAACACTATTGAGTCGCGTCCGGCACTCGATCAGATTGATGTTGTTAAGACGCAGCTTGAAGCCAAGCTTTCAGAGCTCGGTAGCTTGGTAGCAGGTTTATCGCAATCAAGAGGTGGGCATGAGAAGGATGCGGGAAGACGAAAAAGCCAGATGACAGCAAAGAGAAAAAGCGGAGAAGAGCGACAATGGAGAAGTGGATTGGGTCTTCAGGAGGTAGAGAACGGCATGCTGCCTACAATCACAGAAGACAAATACTATCCTCGAAGGACAATGGGGTATGTCTTTGTTGCCGTGCTAGAAATAGCATGCGCAGATGCACGCGAAGCTAACTTGTCGCAGTGCAGACGAGCTTCAGCAGGTTATAGAAGACCCGGACAGCCAATCACCAGACATCGGTCCTCCGCCAGTTGCGCGATTCGAAGACGAAGATCCCATTGGTTTTGATCCCAGTCCTGCAGTAGAGGAACAACGTGAGGAGGCTGAAGATGAGGGAGAGCCTGCGTTGTCGGTAAACCTTGAGACGCGTAAGAAGCGACGAGAAAGTGGGCCGAAGCTTAACATACGTCGCGTGTCCCTTTTCGAATCTCCGGAAGAAGCTGAAGAGACAGCTACAAAGCCTCTGCGTACTGGAGCGAAGCGGAAATTCAGCGTCCAGGAAGACGAGGAAGTGAGCCAAGCCAAGGGTGACGCTTTCAGATTTAGTCGCCGCAATATCTCAGGTGCTCCAGGGATAGAGACATCTAGTAGCGAATCCAAGCCTTCGTCATTAGATCGGCTTCCCGTTCTTTCAGCTAGTAAGTACACACAAAGCAAGATAGGGTCAATATCTGACTTAATAGAACCCGTCAATACCGATCCAATTTTGTCGCCAAAGAAGCATCGCTCTTCAAACCAAGACAAGCCCGAGAAACCAGAGAAGCCCGAGAAGCCAGCATCGAAAACTCGTAGTCGTCCTCGATTGAATATTACACGCAACACCACTCCGGACCTTCCGCTGATACCCATGCCTGAACCTGTACCTACTGCAGAGATCATACTCGATTCTCTACCTCCTAAGACACCTGCTGTGGACACTATTCTCTCTCCACCTTCTACCGAGCCGTCGACGCAACGACCAGACAACAAGGATACACCGCCACCGGGAGATCTCAGTTCCGCAGATCAGACCGGTCAAGCAGGTCGACCTGGCAGACGAGCGCGTCCTCAAGTCAGTTACAAAGAGCCCAGTCTCAACGTAAAGATGCGACGTCCAGATGCTAAGCTAGTTGATGCGGTGGTCGATCGCAGGACAAGTGTAGAGACCCAGCATGTACCTTCAACCCTCGTCAAGCGTGACGCAGATGGCGAAATCTCTTGGAAGCCCGTGTCGGTAGTCTCTCAGCCGAGAGGTGAAGAAGAGGCCGAAGCAGGCAGCCCACTGAGACAGAAACTCGACAGAAACCAAGACTCCAAAGCATCACCAGCGTCGTTTGAACCTGAGGAGCGATCGACAGCCTCGAAGGCCATATCCGCGCTCATCACCGAAACCAGTACTGCTAAGAGAAGAGTATCGTCATCAACTGCAGGATCCGCCTCCGAGCTTGCCATCGCCAAGCCAGTAGATCTTCCTCTTCTAAACAAGGATACCATAGCCGTTGAACAAGAGCCGAAAGAGAAGGACAGCTTGGCCGTGTTCGACTTTACCGACTCTTCACCTGCGGACCCAACGACCAACCCACGTACACGGGTTAACGAACTTGCTAAAGCAGCGCGAAGTGCGCGGCGACACTCTGCTATGCCTGCTTCTTCTACATCAACTTCATTAGAAGAGCGCAAAGCCGAGAGGGGAAGGGTTGAAGGGGCACTCCCTTCGTTGCATAAGCGCACTGGAAGCGGAAATGTGAAAAACAGTAGTAGTACTTCGAGTCTAGGAAGAAGTACTAGTGCTAATGGTATCGCTAGGGGCACGTCAAGTGCTCGAACGGCAGGCGTGAAGGAGAAGAGACTTACCGATACTGCAAGTGTACCGGCTGGTGCCAGTACGGCTGACGTAAGGGCGAACGCTGATGGAGCCGAAAGCATCAAAGTGCGAGACGGAGGGAGGGAGACGAGTACATTAAGAGCTGAGCGCGCAGCTAGCCGTCGAAAAAGTATGATGCTTTAGGGCTGGACTTAGGATACCATGTAGATGATTGGGGCGTTCTCATATATTGGCGTTATGACTGGCACGACATGAGCTGTTTCTCCATAGCGACGGCGTTTTTCTTCGCGAATGATACCTGATCTCACGGGATCATTTTCTCTATTCAGTGCAGTCAAATCGCTCTATGACGGTCATGAAGTCTAACTTGTTACTCTTCTCAATGGCTTTTTGTCAGGCTGCGCTCCTGTTGCATACAGTATATCGCCCATGAATCATATTAGTGGATGTATTGTTGCCGAGAAGCTGCTCAGTTAGCATGTCACAACATGTCGACAAGGTCATATGCGGTTGGTGATGTGATTGGTTGTATTGATGTGTGATGTATGTCTGTCTCTCAGCCTGATGAAGCCTTTGTTCGATACGATTTTTACCTGAACCCGATCTTTAACGGTTCCTGTCCTCATACCAGTCCTTTCCACTGTTGTCTTTGCTAAAGACTCTCTTGAAGCCTTTGGACACAGCATCAGTGACACTAAAGTCGTTGAACAACCATTGGTTGCTGTGTCGGCCATAGTACTTGAACTCCTTTGGCTCTTCGCTTCTCGCACTCTTGCCGCTTCCAACACTGCTTTGAGTGTCTCTGCGGCTGCGCTTGTGGACACGCGGTTTGCTGAACTCGCCTGGTGCGACACCAACACTTTCAGCATGTGTCTTGGAACTAGGCTCAGCGCGCATAACGCAGAGGCCGGAATACTGAGAGTAGTGGGAGTCATTGGTGCCTGTTGTGGACATTGTTGCTGATTTGGTGAAACGGGGCATGACGCCGCTGTCGATGGAGGTGGATCGGGGACATCGCTGGGACAGAATTGAGTCGGAGGAGGTTTCTCCATTGCCTTTGGCAGAGTTGTTGTTGTTGTTGGACTGGTGTTCGAACGAGACAAGCCTTGAGGTCAAGTCTTGAGCGTCGATGCGTTGGTTGTTATAGTCAGTCATCGGCAGTATGGTTGGAGACTGAGTAGAGAAGGTGATGACCTTTGGGTCTTGGCTGATTGTGGAGTGGATTGGATAGTCTTGGATCGTGTTTGGCCCTAGTGTCGAGGCAGTGGAACTAATGCTTGTAGATGGTAGTAGCATCGAATGTGGCAGTGCAAGCTAGGGGGGTGAATGAGGTATATATGCTTTCTCTTGTTTTCTTGCCAAGACCAACACTCTCACCATGAAATGCAGTCAAGACTTATTCCCGCCTCTAGGCGTCTTGGGTGGAGTCACTGGTTCAACGTATGGGAAGTCGGTTTGGGACAAACGTCTCTCTTGACCCAACCGTGAGCCGCATTGAACCTTACTAACCCACTTTATCCTGAAATACTCTCACTTCTGTTCGGTTAAACGCTATCGTACGTCAAATACGAGAACACATGACCTCTAACCCTTGATAGCGAATGTCAGCCTTACCCGGCTATCGGCAACCGCCACGCAATCCTAGAGGATAGTTTTAGGGACCGTGCAACAGCCACAGCAAGCCACATCCAATCCGCGCTCTGCAGCAACCTCAAAACGCAAGGCCGCGAATGCATACTACTGCAATTATGACATCGATATCGTTTTTCACGGCTAGGCGGGTACGGCTCGTGATTCGGAGCCTTCCGGTTAGGGCTAGCTGTGGCTTGTGAAGAGTTTTAGGGTGCCCCGGAGCCTTACGTGGCTTGAACAGTTGAGGCGCACGAGTCGGTTAAGCCACAGACAGGTGCATTGAAGTAGTATGAAAGTGGCCGTCGGGTGGCTTGTGAAGCTCAGCAGCCAAATAGAGGTTGACGTGATTGCCGGTGTCCGAATCTGTAATCGGAAGGATAGCCTGAACGGATGTCAACAGCCGACAGGGCAGAGCTTGGGCAGCAGTCCATGCTCGATAAGAAATTATGCAGGACAAGACAAACTTTGGGTCAACATCGGTGATTTATCCTCCGCCAGGCTCAGGACCCGCGCAAGGATGCACGGAGAGACGACGAAGATATGATTTGTAGGTGTAAACAGTCTGCTAGGACCTAGGGCGCTGAGGGATTTCAGAATGCTAGATCAGCAAGAGTAGGCAATTGCAGCACGAAAGCAGAGACACTGCTCTGATTCTTGGAAACCAACAAAGTCAAGACGGCAAACTCCCTATAGTAACACAGCATCTCATGTTGCCTAGCAAGAAGAACGCCATACGCCGCATCATCGTAATGGGTATATCGATATCAAAAACACCTGTCAGCGCCGCACATTGAAAGTTCACACCCCCACTAAACACCAGGTACACCATCCTTGCTGCGGATGCGTCCGTTTTTGACCGAACCTATGGTGACACCAGCTTCACCAGTCATCCAGCCTGGCATCTTCTCACCGTCTATAATACCTTCTTCTACCAACTGCCTGATACCGGCGAACACATGCGTCCCTTGGAACGTGACCCGTACGTTCGGTACCCAGCCCTCTTCGTTTTGTATTTCCTCTAGATCTTTAGCGGTTCTGTCGAGAAGAGAGGGGCGGCCGCGCCGTGTACGGCTGCCAGTTTGAGCATCAAGGTTCGATATATCGTCGTCTAGTTGCGTCGGAGTACTACCGTTAGATGGAGATGGAAATGGGTCATCGATGCGGACTTCGAATCGCTCAAGACCTTGACCATCGTCAGGCTGCGCTGAGGTCCCGAACCGTCCAGCAGCTACCTCTTTCCTACGTTTGGCCTCTGAAGACTGTTTGTCGTCCAGTGGTCGCTTGGGTCGACCGGGTCCAGCTTTGGATCCACCATTGGTATTGCTCTTTTCCCCTGTCATCTTGTCTTGCCCTTCACTCTTTTGTGTGGTGATAAAGTCTAGTGCATTCTGACTAAAACTATGATCTTGAAAGATGCTCCAACCACCTGCTGCAGCATTGCTCTTCCCAGGCCCGCGGTACGTCAAAAGGGCATCGAGTGACTTCGTGGTAAAGTTCGTACTTGTTAACTGGTAACGCGCAGACGGTCTTGAGAAGGCTTTCGGTATAGCTTGCTGCACGATATCCCTCAGATGTCTCCCTTGGTCTCCAACGACTTGGCCGGTAAGCGTTGCTAGCGACGAGTATACGAAAGGCGATCCGTTAGGCCATACGAAGAATACAGCTTTGGCGCTATCCGTGCTGCTGGACTCGACGGTCAGCGACGCTTCGGTGCTGTACGGCGAATCGTGAATGTAGACTCGTAGTATGGTCATGGGCGACGATTTTATCCGTGTAATCAGGTAATGTGCCTTGATAAGCGGCGTCAGCTCTCTTGCGAGATTTGACATGAAGGTCTGCGCTTGGAATCGTGGAAGATGGTCTGAATCGTTTGTGACTTCCATGTCCGTCACTGGTGATCGCGCACTAGGTATCTTTGTGAGGCGTTTCGCCGTCCAACGCAAGGCATTCGGATGATCTAGTAAGTACTGTATCTCTGCCGTTGCCATTTGGTACATGGATATGCCGTGTCTCCAATCTCCCTCAAGTATGCGGTCAAGCACCTCCCTCCTGCCACCTTTGCGCGCAGCTAGCTGTTTGTACGTTTCTTGAAGCACTTCATAGCTTTGCGCCGGCTCGTATATCTCCTCGTCGTCCTCATCCACTCGATCACTGAGCAGATACGGCTTGCAGAAGTCGCGGTTTTTCTTGCTGAGCCATTGCAGCGCAAGCGACACGAGCGATTGGCGAGAGAGCTTTGTAAAGGTGCGCTGGACCTCGCGGTGGTTGATCGGCAACCGGTGAGAGTGCGGAATGTTCTTATAGTCGGGGGCGGTCGCCATCACGTCGGTGCGGTTTGCGTCTACATGGAGGGGCCGTCGGTTGTTGTTGATTGGAAGCTGTTATCGATAGTGTGAGTCGCGACGCGTCGAGGAGGAGCAGGGCCCACCACGTGACTTGGCTCACCCCCATTGTGCTTAGGTGGTCAGGTACCTGGGCGTCTACGTAGCGATAAACTGTTGTTTGTAACATTCAACACAGACCTGTAGATTATGCATCGCTCCCAAAGCTCTCTACCTTCAACATATGTCGTCTGGATGAGTCTTGAGGTTCTTACGGAGCCGTTTGAGGATGGGTGTAGTGTATTCTTTCCGGTTCAAAGCTACCTAGGTGCACAGTAGTCTCGCTGCACTCCGTCATAGATAACCATTAGGTATTACCAATATTCATGCACCCACAGCTCTCTCCAAGGTAAAGACCGGAGAGACATTAGTTCCATCAGGATTATGTTCTGGTGAGGCTCATCAGTACATTCGCTGGCTAGGAATCCCTTACAATTCTTGCCAGATTCAGATGGACACTGATCATATCTTTCTTGCCGAAGATAGCATAATATGCCGCGTGGAAATTGCCGCTTCTTGGATGTGCGATCCGCTCAGGTGTCCGGTCCAGTCTCGGACAAAGACGCTCAAACATGATTCGTCGTCGGTAAAGATGTACGTCCTGATTACAAACAACGAATGCTCAGCTGCTGTGGAAACAATACGACGAGCTGACAGTAAGACGACAGTCATGCTGAGTTTCCTTGAGCCAGCAATCCGAAAGGAAGCAGTAGTCATTCACAGTGCTCTCATCTCGAAACCCTGAACTCGGAGAGCGAAAGCTGGAGCCGTTGCGACTCCAACCACACGTGGGGTGAGGCTCGGCGTAAATGCGGCCTGGGGTTTGCGGTCGCTAATAACTCTAGTCACCGACCGCGGGGCTTCCATTGATCGAGAACGCCCTGCGCACTTTGACATTCATCCACGTCACGATACACACACACATTGCTCTTGCTTTTTGCACCCTCATCAACGGCCTGTGCAACAGAACGTATACACCAAACCAGCGAACGATTTCAGACGTCGAACCAGGCTCCAGCCGCGCAAAATCAGCTTCGGACACGCAAGCGCGATCGGATCGGGCCTGAGTGGAGCACCATCTCCCAATTCCTCAACAACGACTTCCAGCGATTCTCCCGCTCCATCGTCTGGATAGCAAACATACGCCCATGTCCGCCTACAAAGGCCAGCGAGGGCCCAACGTGTCCCAGTACATCGCGAACCTCAACCAGCTGTCGCCACAGCAGGATCTGCTTGCCGATCCAGCACCCACCGAGGACTTCTCCGACTTCCTGAACGGAGAGTTCTTCGACGTGGACAACGCCCGTAACGCCAGTGTCGACTTCGCTTCTGCCAGTGCTTTTGGCCTTGATTTTGATACCGAGCAAACACAGCCGCTGAAGACCGACGGAGAGTTTCCGCGCAACCCGGGCACCAGCGCCGACGCGAACATGGACTTTAATTTAAACGGTAAGCACATTTCCACGTTCAAAACTGTTCCGTTTTTCAGTCAATGTGGTTTTTACCCATCGAGACTCGTCCGTTTGAATTGTCGCATGGTTCGCATTACTCCGTCCAATAGCAGGCTGGCGAGGCGCATGCAAACCCCGCCCTGTGTGTTGCATGCATCGTCACCCCACACCTCGTACAACAGCCACTCACAAGGCGTCCTATATATGCAGCCATGCATCACTGCAAGCACGTAACTGCTTGTTCCGCTGAGCGAAGAACACTACGCACTCGCATCGCGACTCGAGCACATCATCGTCTAGAATAGCCATGACTGACTTTGATCTGCTAGTAGGCGACTTCCCATTCACCGACTTCAACAACTTCGGTACAACACCAGCGTTTGACCCTTCCATGCCCCTGGCGCACTCTCAGCCTACCCACTACCCGCTCGCACCCAACTACGCCTCACCTGCCTCCTCGTTATCTCCTGTTGCCCAAGGCTTTGATCAGTCTTCGAAGAAGCGCAAGCTCGACAATGTCGCTCCCGTCATGCCACAGTCTCTGGACGAGAACGCCCGCGTAGCCGCAGAAGAGGATAAGCGTCGCCGTAACACAGCCGCAAGCGCCCGCTTCCGCATCAAAAAGAAGCAGCGTGAGCAAGCTCTCGAGCAGTCCCAAAAGGAAGCGCAGGAGAAGGTCGCCAAACTAGAAGCTACCATCCAGCAACTGCAGACGGAGAACGCATGGCTCAAGGGACTCATCACCGAGAAGAACGGCGGCAAGAGCACTACAGACGAGCTCAAGGCACTCATCAACAAGCGCGAGCAAGCCACAGGTGGACGGAGTAGCGGTACGCACACAGATGGCGTAGGCACCTTGATTGAGAGCCAAAAGGCGGATGCCTAAAATACGTCCTTTGTTTCTTCTTCTTCTTCTGTCCTTTCTTCTCTGTACCTTTGTTGCTCTCAGTCAAGCTGGTCAATCTTTACTTTTGCGTACTGAGCCCATGTTCTGCTGTGCTGCTTCCACGGTTGGTTGGGTGGGGGATGGAGGATATGCCACATGATTAGGAAGAGTACGCGATCATATCCATGTAGACGAGCGGATGAATAAGTAGCCGATACCATTTTCAACACATATAATGCCAGATGTTCCAACACAAAGGGAAAAGCCTGTTGTCTCTGCCAAGTATCAAATATGAATTCTGAAGGTGTTTTTCCTGTTTTACATTAATGTGCTCGTGAGGAGAATGCGTTGTGGCGTCCAGGTTATAGCAGGAGACGATGAGTGGAGTAGCAAGTATCAATATGGTAGGTATCAATTTCGCCATGTCGACGGGGGGAAGCGCAGGACTATGCACACTATGGTTTCAACGCCGTACCCAGGAAGAGAAGAGCAGCGATTTCCAATCAAAAAACACCCCCAGCTTTCTTCTCGGCCCTCAGCCTCAGCAGGCCCCGCTCACGTAGCTTTCGCTTGGCCCTTCATACGGGCCAGTCTGCATCCTACCCACCTTGTTCGATCGTCAGGATGGAAAATGCAATGGCTCACACATGGGACCATCAATGCCCTTGGCGCTATTATCCTTCTAGATAGCAATCCAGGTGATGGTAATGACAATGTCCATGCCCTTCTTCTCGGCAGCCTCCCACTTGTAGCTGTATGTGCCGTCCTTCTCGTTGTTCCAGAAGGCGCCAACCGCGCTGTGCATGCCGCGACGACCGTGCTTGTCGGGTTCCGCGGGAGAGCCAATGTGTTGGATGACGGTGCTGTTGGCGATGTACTTGTAGGCAGGCTGCGAGGGAGTTTCAGGGGTGGAGGATTCGGATGAGGGTGTAGTCTTGCTGATGAGCGTCTTGAGGATGTATTGCTAGGGTAAACGTTAGTACATGATGGAGGCGGTTTGACGTCGCGTGCATGGTTGCGCCAGCTAGTCTAACTAAAACTTACAATAATCTCGCTGTTCCAGTCTCCAACCTTTGTGTGGTCGTATGATTCAGCGGCGCCGATAGCTTGCTCGCAGGCCTAGGTAGTTTGGTTAGCTCATGCAGCCTCATCCAGACGCATGCAGGGCGGCGTACCTGCTGAGCAATTTGCTCCAGTTCAGAGGTAGGAAGCGGTGACGCGGACTGTCTCTTTGTCAGTACACAATAACTTGTGCTTGCCGAGCAAGACACTTACTGCCATGGTGTTGACTGTGCTGTATAGTGATGTTGCGAAATGTGGAGCAGGAGGTTTATCGATGTCTCGAACAGGAACGTAGTGTGATGAGACGTAAATGTCGTGTTTACTCCCAAGGATCAGTGTTTGGACAAAGCTAGCGTCGGCGGCCGGAGTTGGATAGACGTGGCAGGTGCGCAGGTGGCACCCAGGGACCGGGCCATCCCCGCATGCAGCCTCAGAGCCGATGCTGTCACGTGGGCGACATGATAGGCCAAGGGAAGGCGTGAACTTGCATGGGTTTCCCATCGCGACCCGCATCAACAAGAGCTTTGACGACATTGTGATGCAGACTTCTTCTCCTCACCTTGTTCCTACCACGAGATTCTTCGTCTGAAGCTGCATCAATCCTTGGCTCTCTTGGTGCCACTCAAGCGACCGATACTCAACCTCAAAAGTACCTCTGGAAAGCTCGCGTCGCAACATCAGCGGGACCATCACCACCATCGTCATGTCCACCCAACCGCTTCTCCAAACCGCTCCCGGTGCGTCGCATCCTTCGCCCCGCCCCCAAAACGCATACTAACACTCTCCTCCAGGCAAGCGCATTGCTCTCCCCACGCGTGTCGAGCCCAAAGTCTTCTTCGCAAACGAGCGCACCTTCCTCTCATGGCTCAACTTCACCGTCATCCTCGGCGGCCTCGCAATCGGCCTGCTTAACTTCGGCGACAAGATTGGCAAGATCTCCGCCGGCCTCTTCACTCTCGTTGCCATGATGGCCATGATTTACGCCCTGTTCACCTTCCACTGGCGCGCAAGGAGCATAAGGCTAAGGGGCCAGGGCGGCTTCGACGACCGACTGGGTCCTACCATTCTGACGATTGCGCTGTTTGCAGCCGTCATTGTCAACTTCGTGCTGAGGTTGACAATGGGTGGTGAGCAACACCACGGCAAGAACTAGGAGAGGTACCAGGATGCAACGTGCGCGCAGCAGCTGCCATCACCCAATAGTTTGTGTGCATAGTGGCTCGGGCGCACATGGTCGGATCGAACGTGGAGGGTCGTGGAAAGAGGCAATAGCGGGTCGTCAAAACATACTTGGGGATGCAGAACTGGTGAAGACGACATATTTGGATGAGTTGGAAGGGCGTTTTGTTATTCAGTAACATGGTCATGTTTTCAAGAGTTCTGTACAATTACATAATGACATGCACGTCGAATCGAGGTGCCTGTTGTACCTCTTCTTGTTTTTGTTCTAGTTGCAGCTATGCAAACCACACGTAAAGAGGACGCAAAGTACATTTGTTTTAGCTTTACGATCTTTCAGTCTCCTTGAGAGGACCGTGTGATAGAGAAAGACAATCCTTACCAGCGGGCGCTCCACTCGCATCGAATCGCTCACCCTACTGCTTAGAGATAAACGTCCTATTCCATACGAAAACAAGGAACAGGAACTTCTGTGGCCACTTGCTCACCTTCTGCATGATATCCTCCTAGGCTTTCTGTGTGTAACGTTTGATAGCTCGGTAAGTCCATGAAGGCTTGGACTATATGTATTTAGATATCGACGAGTTCCCACGTATTTGGTTTTAACGTATGTTGGTTTTAGGCAGATGAGACCTGTGTTCCAACACACGGCGTGCTTGTCAAGTAACTCATGATGAATAGAGAATCTTCTAGGCACAGCAATGGAGTGTCCTAGCTGCTGGTTTGCCGAGCTGATCTGGTGGTGGGTAAACTCTTATACCGATGAAAAGATTCACTTATAAGAAGCAGGATACGTTAGATTTATCGGTGTGAGCCACGGTAGAAGGAAACACTGATCTGGAGTAAGCAGAAGGTCTAAAGGCGGATATGTTAACAAGAGCATATCAAATGATACATTCGTCTGAGAACTAGCTTCTTGAATTCCAGCCGTATGAGCCCATCCAAGTGGATGCAGACAAGAGAGACAGGAATTACTACGATGACGTTAAGCACGGTAGAAGTGTGCCTTGTGGTTGGCTTTGCAAATAATGAAAATAACATTGCATTTGATTGCACATGTTTCACATTTTCAAAGGACTGGTATTGCTACTAGAGCTCACCGTTCGACAGCCTCTCTATGGTCCTAGTTCCAGCTCTACCAAATGAACCTCTGCAAGTTACCAGGCTCACTGGACCACGTGAATGTACGATACAAGAAAGTATTCGAGACAGCCGCATTAATAGCGAGCAGCCAAACAGTCTCCAAGACCATACGTACGTCAAACCCTCTGCTGTTCGACATTGCAGCTTGGTTGCAGGGCACATGCAGCCGCCAGATTATCCATGGAATGATGAAATAACGAGGCTCTACTAGTGGAGCAGTAATGAGTGAGAGCGCAGTGGTCACTAGCCACACAATGACGAAGCTTATCTGACAAGTAGGGCGATCAGCGTTGTCTTTTGTAAGACTGGCTTTACTTTTCTCCATTGGTGTTTGCTCCTTCTCAGGTGAGACCGGCTGTAGTGGTGAAGAAAGCGCTTGAACAGTAGTCCATGCACATACATAGTATACTGGGACTGCAAGGTACTTCAACGTGGGGTATAGTCGAAGCACCTTGAAGACGTAGAAAACAAAGTGTCGGTTGTCGGCCAAGGTATACGGGTGAATGATGGTATTGAAATGGACTGCAAGGAAGCTGCCGGCTATGAAGAACGCAGTCGTTGCAGTTGTCGGGATTCCGTAGTAAGAGATGTTGAGATGTTCATGGCACAATATCTGGAGACGTCTCGGTAAGAAAGTGACAGCAGGTCTGAGCAGGGGTCCAATTAATAGTGGTGCCGAGAAGAACGTAATGTAAGGCCAGATGTAGAGCATCTGAGGAAGATGAATAGTAGCCGTGTGGGCTGATTTGTCCCCTATCAATGTTAGCTCTTGTCCATACAAAGACGTATTCTACGCTTACCAAGGACAACACTGCCGTTCCAGATTACAAACCCAGTGAACAGAAATAGAAGGGTGATATAGGGTAAGGTGACCTTGAGTACGACCAAAGGTTTCCGTAAGGCTGCAACCACCACAGACAGCAGAAACATGACAACATCTAGCAATACATTAATATCGACTCTGATAGCTGAATACGAGGCGACGTACCATGGAGACCCGCGTCTTGAACATGACTGTCATAGATTGCACCATCGTTCCAACTAGTCTGTACAGCTGACCTAAGGTCTGAACTTGTTGAGATAGTTGCCGGCGCATCTTTCTTCAATGTGTCGATGACCGCAAGCCCAGCGGGGAACACAGCCACCCAAAAGATGTTGGTTTGTCGAAACAGAAGTGCAAAAACTCCCAGTGCTACTGCACTGATCATTCTCACGATAGTTCGCTTTGACATCGAACTCGTCAGATATGCACTATATGCGAATAGTACCGCCAGAGTTGACATCACATCTGTGTAGTACAACGCAGAGAAGAAGAAGAGAGGGGGGAAGAGTGCAATGTTAAGAGCGGAGTGAACGTCAACCACGAAGGTAGGGTCTCTCACAGCAGAGTCGCGTTCTGCAATGTTTCCGTCCTCCTGCAAGCTCTTGCCTGGGTTCTGACGCTTTCGAAGTAGACGCAGAATACCATAGCTCATAATCATGACGATACAAAGAGCTTCGGCGTTCAACATGCGCAAGGAGGATGTTTCGCAGCCCAATAATGGTTTCGATAATTTGGAGACCAAGTAGCTTTGATCAATCATTAGTCATGTTCGGCCAGCAGGTGTTGTAGGCGATCGTACAGGCCAGGTGGAGTGGTGATCTTCGGATCCCATGAGTAGTCGCCTTTGCAGTACTTCTGGGCTTGGGGAATATGGAAGTACTCATCCTCGTATTCGGTCAGTATTAGAACACGTCGATGTTGCTGGTACATACCAGGTAAGGGTTTGGAACTTCATGTAGCACTTCTCCATACCATATAGTGGTGATGTACACAATGAATACAATGGCGCTGGGCAAAGCCCACGCCTCGAGTAGTAGAGGCATCAGTCTTCTTTGGTTGACTGCCCAAGCAATAGTCTAGGAGAAAGAATGGTGTCAAATGTCAGTGGACAGTTTGAAAGATGCGGGTGATCCTGATTTAGTTAGCTTACCGCGGTCCGGGCGCGTCGTGCATCTCAAAACTTGGACAAACAACTTGAAGTCCCCGATATTACGCGTTGCAACATGGCATTACCTCTTCCGCCGGGGCTGACGCCCCCCGAGATAGCGTTCTTGTGCGAGATGGAGCTCGTCACTGTCATACCGCGGCAGAGACTTGAGGGATTGGAGCTTCTCGGCGTAGGTGTGCCCCTCCACCCCGCCATGCTTGCTTGTGTATGTGTATTGTGTATAGGTTGTTTATGTTGATAAATCATAGGGACCCATAGAACCGCTCGTTCCTCCGCACCGAACAGACATTCCTCTGTGGTTAGCTCTCCTGCTCAAGCGACAGCGCCGCGCCAACATACTTCCACCGCCATGGCTTAACACGCACTCTCTCAATGCCATCCTCGAACACGAAATCGAATACGCCGAGACCTTCTCCCCGCCACCCCGACTACCACCGCAGCCCTCAAACAATACACTTCCTATCTCCCCACCGTTCCTACCCAACTCGACAGCAGGAGGAGCACCAGACGCCTTGCCATATCACTGGCTTGAGCTGGGCGAAATGCTGCTCGAAACAGCGTCGGACGACTTCGAGGAGCCAGACAACGTACGGAAACTGCTGAGAGGCCTGAGGGAAGTACGAATGGCCAAGCTCAGAAGCGGTGTAGAAGTACTGGATGCAGGAGGTGGTTTCAAAATGAATGGTGTGGGAGGTATGGAGGTAGGAGAAGGAAGGACGTTCATTACTGGCGTTATTGATGGGTTGAGGTGCGTATCATGCATAGCATCAGAAGGTTGGTACTAACCGTCAACAGGAAGATTGCAGCATCGCGAGAACAGCAACGCAAAGACCGAGACCGAGAGGAGGCAGAAAACGGTTACGCTGGTACAGCCGACTATGACGACGACGAGATGGATATGCAATGAACCCACGCCCTTTCCAATAGCTGTTCCTAAACGTCAGCTTCCGAATGGAGTAAAAGCTGTACAAGGGCAACTCCCAGAACCCAGCTACGAGCTATCCGCGGCGATATTCGTTGTCAAGTCCGTCAATATCTCCATCGACAACATGGGCGCTTGTTTTCACGACGTGCACGAAACTGGTCGTGTTCTACACCGGCCTCGGCGCATTACTCCAACACTTCTAGTGCATTGCTGACAAGTCATCTTGGATGTCGGCGGCATAACAGAAAGAACGCGGCGCTTGCTGGGTGCCTCGTTCAGGTTCTGGACTCAAAATCTCACTTTGCGGATTTACGTGCCATGATAGCAAGGATGGACCGTGAGTCCCCAAGATCCATGCTCGAAAGTGACATTTTGAGCACGTATGCCCATATAAGTGTCACTATGGATCATACCTCGTTCAAGATGCTACTCCATTGTGTTGCGTTAGCTGGAGCACTATGGAACAAGGTGTTCCCAAGTCGTAACTTTCATAGTCACGCTACACATCCGCGATTCAATTCACATATCGCTCGGCAATGTTTACTGTTGTATCCGAGTTGAACGCGTTCGGCACGATCAAGACGATCGTTTATACCTAGATAGGCATTCCTTTGCATCCGAGGTATTTACGAATGTAGCTACTACGCCGGTCTCTAGACGCGGTGAACATCGTCCCCGTGACCTTACCTACCCCATGTATACCGGCAAAAAGTTCCGATGTATGTTTCTAGGGACCCTTTCACAGTCAAGGGATAAGATACCCTCATATGCAAGTCATGGAAACTCGATATCGCCGAGCCTAGAACAAGGAGCTGCCCTGAAGAAGGCCCGTCAAGGCCGTTCCTCGGCCCGCGAACAGCGTTGCGTGACAGCAACACAGGCAATACCCCAAGAGATATTCGATAGCACACATGAACGCCTCGATGCGAAGGGTCATGTCAGCATGCGCGTCATCATAGTCTGTGCAAGGCATCATATTGTTGATCTGGCGGTTTTACGGTCTCATCGGAGGAGGGATGTGATGAGATTAGAGTGCCGGCGGAGCCGCACGTCGCCATCCAAGCCATCCAAATTGAGTCGAGACTGCAGTACCAAGGTGTGCACGCTCGCTGAAAAAATTCAGTGCAACTATACTTGGGCGACCGAGTGAATCACTTCAGCAAGACCGTGTCGTGGACAGGCTATAGGGCAGCAATGCGCGTGACAGCGTCGATCACTACCCACGATGTGCGAACAACTGATTCATGTAGTCTCGGTGGTAGGTGAATCGGCAAGCGATTGGGAGCAGTGTCTTCCCGCGCAACACACAGATGCGAAAACACACCTGTATGCATGTGAAGAAGGTGGTCATGGCATTACCATGCCAGTGTTGCGTAACGTATCTTTACGACTTATCAAATATGAAACGTTAGCTCAACAACAACAATTTAAACCCCTCAAATTACTGAACAAGTAATCCTAGACACGCTTACCCGCTCTTCAGCCTTCCCGGAAGCACCGACACGTGGTTAAGACATGGATAGGTCTCTCTTCTCTCGGCTCGCTCTGGTTGCACTGTCCACGCATCTATCCCGGCAAATCGACTCCACAACAACAAGCGAACAATCTGTCGCAATGAGGCTGACAACAAGCTGACGAAACTAGTCGCGGCCAAGTGTCCCGTCCTATCTTACCGTATAGTAATAACACTCATAACACCATGGAAACTTCCCATCCTTCGAATATGCGCCCAAGAAGCAAGGAAGACGGCGTGACAAAGCATGCACGCCCCAAACAGGCATCATGCATGCATGAAAGATACATGTGTACGTGAGTCGCGGCATTCATGCGCGAGGTAATGGACACGGGTACTGGGGTTGTGAGTCGTAAACAAGAAATAGAAAAATAGGATGATTACGTGAGTATTTTGGATAGAGTGGTAAACTACTACATCGGCGAAGGAGAGCTCAAGAGAATGAGAAGGAAAAAGTAAAGTAAGGTTTCGTGTATGCGATGTAGTGGATTGAGAAGGATGGAGCAAGACGAGGGGTGTGAGAAAAGTACATCTATATGCCGTAATTGGGAATGAGTGACATGTGGCGAGCAATGTGAGTGAAGGGAGCCCAGAGGTATCCTACCATGGGGTGAAAGACAAGAGTACGCCAGCATCATGTCCATTGATGTTGTCTTAGTGATTCGCCCAAGAACATTTTTTTGAGGTTCCACCCTAGGTCGCAGGATCGGATCTCCAAGCTAGCCTTACGGCGGCAATCCCTAGGTGGTCGAGCTTCTGGGCTGATGGAAGAAAGTTTTCGTCATACCACTGGGTATTGGAGTGCATAGTAGTTAACAACACACGTGGCATTGCATCGCATGCCAGAAGCAACACGGTTTCGATTTTTGGTGTGTGAGTAGATCTTGGTCGAGAACGTTAAGGACTGCCGTTTCTTCCGAATGTCTATGTCGCGTGTGAAAACATTCTTTTGTGTATCGGATTAGAAAACGATAATGCTTGTTGATCCAAAAGCAGAGCATTGTGCATAAGCCCAGGATCTAGAGGCTGCCTTTCCGCCGTTCTTGTCGCAAAAGAAAGCTGATGCCGTTGATCTCTCGAAAGTCTTGCTTTTTCTCGTGTCCGACACGTGCGCACGTTACCTACCAAGATTTCCATTCCAAGATCCCATGTCGGACCTTCCCGAGACCATATATCGAACCCGACGCAGCTAGTAAACCTTCACCACCGCCATTATCGCAATACCACACATCGAAATACCACACTCCAATCTCCAAGACTGCAATATCTTACTGGGATTCCAATAGCAGCGTTCAACATCTCTCCGCTGACTTACTTATTGCAGTAAGCAGTAAAGAAAAATGAAGAATGTGAGACAGGCCTCATACACCTCCAGTGTGATCTGATGCCAGCTTTCCTTACGCACCTTACTTTACTACATGTGGGTACCTTGCTTGTGTTTATGGCCAGACGAGATTTGAAGCGGAGGTCGTTAATGAAGACACGACAGGGATATTGTAGCTTTTTCCGCGAATAGGCATGAGGCGGATGTACCGGATACTGAGCCTGTGAGCTGCTGTATGAGGGATGGTGAGACGGGGGTCCTGGTATGTGGATTATAGCTAATGGAGAACTCGTGTTTGTACGATAGCGATACGATATCTGATGAAGGTTATTAGCTAGTGGAGAGGAGCTAGGGTTGGCGAGTTTTACTGTTGCACATTAGCAGCTTGGATGATTGATACCCGTGCGATGATTTCAAGCTACCAAATGGCGCAGCATTGGAGAAAACCATAAGTGTGATTGTTTGTTACAAAGTGGGTTTGCGGCTCGATCATCGATGGATGGAACCTTGCAAGCGCATATACGAAGATGCAGACGCAAGCAGCCCCATCTCTGTGAAATGGGACAGATTCGCATGCTCATGGCCCTGTGCAGCGTTTCGCCATATGGGTCCAAGTTGCAAAGCGCTGATCAAAGTTCCCAGTTCCCATGCCTCATTCTCCTCGTATGCAGATGTGGCGTACCAATAACCCCTTAGGGAGATGAAGCGTACTCCGCGGACTACGCCGCAGGCAGAATTCGATTGCAGCAGCGGAGCTGAGATCCTGCAGGAATCACATTTTGCTCCTCAACGTTGTTGAAGAAAAACGCCACATGGCTTCGTGCTAAAGAGTTCTTTTGCTTCCTTGAGGCGTATTGCTTTACATGTTTTCCAATGCCGAGTCAAGTCCGTACTCGCGCATTCTCACGTGCAGCCAACACCAAAAACACATTCAATCCTTAGAGAGGACATACTATTCGAGTTGAACGCAATCTTCTGTGAACACAATCGATCTCTAATCGTGCGTCATGGTTGAATATCGATACGTCGGTAGCAACCATCGCGACTGGGGTCGTACAAGCTATGCGCGCGCAAGCGGAAGAAGCGATGAGATTTGTGGACAACTGCAAGGGATGTGCAAACTGGTTAGATGCTGAGGCTGACGACTCGTACTTGCTCACGCTCAGCATCCTGGTTCCACTCGGTTTCCAGGACCTTGGCAATGCCTTTTCCTGTAGCGCTGTGTGTACTTCTTATGGCATACATTGCTCGAAGCAGACGTCAGAAGAGACCGAGTTGTGCACGAAGTAGCCGTCAATCGCCGCTTAGTAGCTCTTTTGCGCCGCCAGCCGTAGACGTGGGCAGCACAACGAAATAACTCGGGATATTGATCAAAGTTTGTGCAGACGCGGCAAATCGTCGCATCCATCGCTCGTCTCATCGCGACCCAGAGCTGCGCCGCATCGTGTTCTATACCACGCCGCAGATGCGCATTCTTCTTCGTTCACATGACTTCCAGCTGCCTTTTGGGACGGTCATTGGTAGCCGAGCCTCGGTAATAGTGCATCGGAGTGATGTCCGTTCTGCAATAGATCCACCGTGCGTACCGCGATGCTGGGTCGGCGTTGGCTCTCGCGTGTGGATTGTGGCCTGGGCGTGGAGGCTGGTGGGATGTTTGCAGCGCATCTGTAGAAATGCACTGATATCTAATGCAAACAAGGTTGTCGGCAACTGTACCATCATGTTTACCATGACGTCGTTCTGGAATTACATTATCGACGCTAGTCTCAGCACCCGCACATTGCGCAGCAGTGAAAAGCTGGCTGGCTGCCGGCAGCTAACGTATCCCCGCGGTCGGGAAGTTGGTAACTTTCATGGCCAAGCTACAGCTCCTAGCTTCCTGTGCGGGAGGTTGCTTAATGGCCTGTTTGTGATGGGATTTAGACAGAAAAGGGCCGAGATGTTTGTTAAGTATCTCCAAGTGAGCGAACTACTTTGGAGGCGTCAGAACGATGAAACACTTGTATGCGCCGTCTTCACGCTATCACCGTTAACAGGATTCCGAAATTGTTTACACAACAAAAGCGTCTGCACTATGGACTGCTTGCGGTTGAAGATGAGGTAAGGTGGCCTGCAATGTCGATCTGTTGACCTAGACCTCTATTT